CTATCCCAGCTGACTCAGGGTGAAGGCAGGTTCACCTGGACAGGTAACCAGTCTATCACAGGGCTACACTTAGAGACAGACAACCAAGCACACTCAGTGACTAATTTGGTGGCCAAGGCAAGATTGTAGTTGCTTTCACTGTTTTTCATACTAATAACACAGAAACTGCATGCATGCATTCAAGCTTTTATTTAATTATAACAACACACTAAATAAAACTGAAGACACAAGCGGCATAAATTAAAAATACAATATAAATAAGGCATTGTACAAATATAAAAAATGTTCTATTTACATACAGAATAAAAAAAAAACAGTGAACATGAAAACAAGCAACACAATGTGAAATTACAAAATAAATAAAGCATTGCACAAAATAATAAAAAAGGAAATTAGTGCAGACAACAATGCACACTATTGAACACAGTGTATAGAAAACATCAGACCTGTTGATTACAGCTATTTAGGATTATTCCATCAGAGGAAGCCACGTGCATGTTGACTATAATCAACAAACTGTAATACTGGAGTGAACTTAGCAGCCTATAACATATACAGAGGAAGGAGAACGAAGCATTTTAACGGACAGCAGGTTAAAATAACATCTGAACAGGCCTAATATTGACTTTCGAAATATACCTGATTAATTTAAGGTGATGGTAGCATAACAACTTAAGTCAGCTATAGCTATTTAGTGATTATAAACAACGCTGCTATCGTCAGGAATAAGCCAGCATGTTAGCATTGCTCTGACAACTAACTAACAGGGAGGTCAAGCAGTCACAACATTAACATACTGCTTCCATGTTAATGCACCAAAAATACAAATAATAATGTAATATGATGATATAACAATCTGAAATGAGGCTTGTCAAGTTTAAAATTAAAAATGCATTTTGCTGATTGTACAGATGTCTCTGTTCATACTTGATGGAAGGTTTTTGCATCCACTTGTGTTGCTAACAATCTGTTTTATTCACCTTAACAAAAGCAATGAATGAACAAAACAAGTAAATGTCTTCATATGTTAGCACTGCGAACAACTCCAGGCTTATAACAGCCACAAAACACAATAAAAGTGTTTTTCTCTATGCAGGACCTTTAATTATATGTAAAATTAGACATGAATGTTTCTTCACACATGAAATCCTGGTTTTATGGGTTCACTGTTGCTGTATTCATAACAGGGGAGCTTATGTGTCAAGCTGGCTCGCTGTTTCAGACAGGCAAAAAATCACTTTTCCAATGAGCATCACGGGGAAATGAATGAGTGGTGCGTGGTGTAGAAGCCTCCACCGCCGCTCCAGTCTCTGGCCAGCGATCTGTGACAGCAGAGCAATAGAAACAACATTTAAAAGGAAGGCCACTGCCAGAGAGTCAAGCCTGACGTCCCACCGAACACGAATGAGAAAGCACTTGATCAAAAGAAAGAGCGAGACACAGAGAATAAATGGGAGCAGGAGGGGTGAAAAGAGGAATTTATATGGAAATCCCATGGCTGGAGTCAGTGAGGCAATTTCACATGAATAGAAAGCCTTGATTAGGCAAAACTAGAGAGACGTGTTTCTGTGAGATTGACAACTGAATAAAAACATGTATTTCTACAGAGACTCTTAATTATGATGCTAAACATTAGTCGTGGCGACGGTGTATGTTTATCGCAGCGTCGTGGAAAATCCAAAGCTTATAATTAGATTGTGTTGCCGACAGATGGATGGATGCTCATCCATGTTCATCCGACGTAGACGAGCCTGAATGGCAAAGGATGAGGACTGCAGCGAAGCATCAAGCGTTAGTCCAAGCGTGAGACGCTCAATGACGCAGGTTTCTCAGTCATCAGTGAGTTAAACGTGTGGTAAACTGGCACACAGGAAATCGTGCGTTTTATTTGATGCGACAAAGCAGAAACATGCAGTTTTCTTTTACAGTTTAGTTAAGCTTTATTGATATGGCATCAATTCACAGCATAAGTCATCTCAGTGGTAAATAGTATAATATAAAGAAAACCCAACAAATCCAAAGATTCCTTCTGAGGAGTGGACAGGGTGAACAAGAAGCTGCTCTGTACCAGGAGAAACCTCCAGCAGCTGTCTGCCTGGACCGGCCGGGCTGAGGGTGAACAGGAGAGAGAGGAGACAGGAGAGAGAACAGGACTGCAGACAGAACGGACAAACAATAAACACTGAGGATGTTGGTGAGGCCAGTAGCTGCAGGTTAGTTAATGAAATGTTGTGATGGACTGTATGAGATGCTGGTTCACTGTCTGGGGTTATGAAAGGATCACAGATGACTTTCACCAGCGTGAGTCCCACATGTCTGAGCTTTTAATNTAAAGTATTCAGCATGTGGTCACAAGCTCTGGTTATCTGCATCACCGCCGTCGGGACGTTACTGCAGCAGCAGGCATGAGCGTATTTCTTGAAGGCGTGTGCAGTACGTCACCTCCCCGTCCCAGGCGCCCTGGGGTTGCCTAAACAGGCAACGCGAGGCAACTTCAGTCCACATAAAGCAACTACAGACGTAAATCAAACGAATCAAAGCGCCGACAGGCAGCTCGACTTGTGAAATACATGTCAGAAATGGGACACTTGTGGGTAAACAAGTGAGATGAGATGTTTACTGTCAGCTTTTTGAGGACATAAAGGACACAATCTGCATTTAGGCGAGGGCAAGAGAAATCCAATTTCGCTGTGTATACTGCCGCCGCATTTTAATGTCAGTCGTAAATGTACTCCAGCTGAATCATATCCAGAAGCAAACTGGATGTGAGGTGAATGTTAAAGGGGCTATAAGGGAAACTGTAGCACAAAATGGCTGCAATATATCTGCAGGGCTTCTAGAAAGGCCTCGAGCGCATTGTGTCAATCAGACTTTTTTGTTTTGTGGCTCAAGGTGACGGTACCCGGAGCGTCGGAAACTTGTTCCGCCGTTCGACCGGCTCCTTTACTTTGCAGCTGATGATACAGATCGTTTGAGGTCAGACGCCCTTTAACTTGAGGTGCAAGGAGAGAGGGTTTCCGTCTGCGTGTCATCCTGTCAGTCAGCCTCTTTGTCCGTGTAATCCCTACCCACGGTCCTGTGCAGCGGCGAGCCACGGGCGGCTGGCCTCTCTCTGTATGAGCCTGATCCCCACCGCCTGTGAAGTCAAATGTTGACAGAGAATCACGAACCACATCAGAATACTAAAGAGGCCGGAGAGGCGCTTTTATGAGAAAGAGAGAGGGAGAAAGTCAGAGCAGGAAACTGTGTGTGTTTTGTGTCCTCGTATTCCTACGCTATAAAAATTACAAGTTTGGCATCGGCTTATATTTTCCAGCGAGAATTATCGCTCCTACTCGGGGATGTTTTGTGAAGCTGCTCGTTCTCTTCAATTTTGCTTGTTTCACTTCAAATGACCTCTTTGGGGGGAATAATCGTAAAGCCTGCAAACAAAAAAACTCACTGACATTCTCTCTCCTTTTTGCAGCAAATGTCCTGAAACAATTCCCATTACGCTGGCAGTCTGCAGCAGCAGCACACTCAAGCTATCTCAGAAATAAGGGTTATAAGCTTTGATAGCAAATAAAATCTCCAGGCAACCTCGTCATCTCTTGCGTGCCAGACAGTGTAAGTGTGTGGTCGAGTGGAGGGAAGAGAATAAAAGACAGACAGAGATAGAAATGAAGGGCCGGTGTTGACTGGTCTGCTCGGCTCCGTGCTTTCTGAAGCCTCTCATGCAAATGAGCTCGCATCTTATCAGCTCTCCATGACATCCGAGTTCCAAATAATGAACACTTGGCCGTAGCGCTCGATTTGGTCCGTCAAGCACGCTGAAAGAAGAGACGACGCTAAAGCCGTGGTTGCGGTGAGAGTCTGGCCTAATGAAGTGTGTGTGGCCTCGGCTGAAAGAGACGTAATCTGTGTGCCTTAAACATTCAGCATTCTGTGGTTGGTCCATTCATTTTAAAGTCTGATTCAGGTTGAATGGAGGGAAATGCTGAGTGTGACCAAGTGGACAGCTAACGGCTAACAGCAAGTCCGTGTTGTTCCATCTGACAATGTCCGTTGCTCTGTTTGTATTGTCTGTTCTTCATCTGCTGCCCCTCATCCTCGCTGTCGCCCCACCGAGTCGAGGCAGATGGCCGCCTCCTCTGAGCCTGCTTCTGTCTCACCGTTTTGTTGTTTGTTTTTTCCACCTCGCTGTTAAAGAGGAGGGTTTTGGTTCCATCGCCAACTGCTGCTCAGAGGCAACTTTGACTATTCATGCTTAGAACTCAGTTTGTTTGTTTGTTTTTGTTGTTAAAAAATAAAAAATAAAATAAAGGAAATGCGTAGTTCCTCATTTAGGATATCGAAATACAAATAATGAGATGTAAAAATTGACAGTTCAACATTTTTACAAATAAATTATGTGTTATTTTAGTTACTTAGATCAGCGGTTCTCAAACTTTTTGAGCCACGACCCCCAAGAAAACATCAGTTTGTGCTTGTGACCCCCCAAATTTGAATTTTTAATAAATCATGAGTAATAAATTTGAAGATTAATATTAATGTGTTAATTCCACAGATTAATCTCTTTACATTAACACGTTAATTTTCTTCTGAATGAATGAATGAATTGAATTTATTTCAAAAGGAGAAAAAATTGAAAAACAAAAGAAAATAATTTTAAAAGAGCAAAAAAATAATAATAATATGGCATAATCAAATCATCATATTAACAAGTCAGAAAAAGGAGTGGGAACAGGTATACACTTTTGATTCTGACATTTATTTGATAAACGTAGGCTTTATTTATTTATTTATTTTACAATGATCTGGCGACCCCCTGAAATGATCTTGGGACCCCCATGGGGGTCCCGACCCCCAGTTTGAGAACCACTGATTCAGAAGACACTTGTGTATCTTACATTTTCTTCACTTTTGGATTCTTTCATTGGGCCCAGGGGGGCCTTGGCAGCAGAACGGTTGTGAACGCCTGCTCTATCCTAAAAATACATTAAAAAGAAGTGATGAGTTGCAGGTGAGCGGTTCCCCCCACAGGTGTCCACGATCAGGTGAGTATCCACTAACCTGGACACACTCCACACACACGAGGAAAAGAGGAAAGCGAGAGCGGCTGCCACAAAGCAGAGGAAGTGGAGGACATGTAACAGTTTGCTTCCTTTGTTTCCTCGTCTGCTGCTTTTTTTTTTTTTAATTGATGTGTGCTGCTGTCTCTGGGATCAATAGGTTCTATCTAATCTAATCTAATCTAATCTAATCTAATATAATCTAGTCTAATTTAATCTCATCTCATCTAATCTAATCTAATCTCATGCATTAATAATATAAATATATTTATTCGTGCAGCTTTCAAGATTCTTTTTGTAAAGAGTTGCTGTGGCTGTACTTGAGCCATTTGTTAGCTTTTTCAAACACGCTCTAATTTAGTATTTCGTTGGAATAGGAACGTTTCCAAAAAGGCTAATTAGAGTTGTGAAGCTGTTGTCTATATACTGGCTGATTAGTTTGTTTTCCTGCGTGTTTCTCTTGTAAATGATCTATATGCACCTTAGTTTCTGTCTGTTTTTCATTCCTTTGTATCAATTTATGTTATTGTTTTAGTTTTTGTTTGTTTATCTGTTTTTTATACATATATTTATATATTTTTTATTATGTATATGGGAGTGTGCAAACTATCTATCTATCTATCTATCTATCTATCTATCTATCTATCTATCTATCTATCTATCTATCTATCTATCTATCTATCTATCTATCTTCTCTTGCTGTAAGGACACATCCATACAGAAGGTTAAAATCAGAGAACATAATCAGTAAGAAGACATCAGATGAGTTGGGCTGAAACAATAACTCAGTATCTTATATATCTCAGTATCAGTGTGGACTCGATCCTTTACTTTAATGAATCTGATGAAGACACTTCCTGTTTACTTCAGGGCCGTCTTTTGCATTCTCTCCATGTTGTCTTTGTTGTGCTTCTTGTCTTACTGCATCATCCCCTCCCTTTAACCTTAACCTCACCTGGAGATCACATTGATTTTCTAGCCGGTGCTGTTGCTATTAAAACACCTACCTGAGGACACTAAGTCGATGTCTGTGTCATCTTTGGTGTGAGAGGATGCTTCCCCTCCTCCTGGCGCCTCTTTTCCTCTGACATTATCCAAATGCAGGAGTTTGTTTACCGACAGCAAAAAAAAAACAAAAAAACCGTGGGTTTGGAAATGACTGAGTCATTGCTGTGCCCTGCTGATGAAATGAGCAGATTGGAAATGGGAAGGTTAATGAGATTTTCACAAAGTGTCCGTCGAGTGGTTTGAACTCAGATTAAATTGACACACTCTGATTAAAATTAATTGACCTGTGAAATGAATGTGTCCCTCAACAGTTAAGGATTGATGGATATCGCAGAGAGGTCGAGACGGAAGAAGACAGCGATGGAAAAAAAAGAAAATTAGTTTGGTTTGAATTTAAGGACAGATATGGTAAGAGGCAGCTTATAGTCCATATTAATCACTAATGTGGGGCGACTCTGGCCCACAGTCCTGTGTGTGATATACGAGGCGTGTCAGAAAAGTTCCAGGACTGGTGTCACAAAGGATTCAAACCCAAACTACAAACTATCAGTGTTCCCCTTCCAAGTAATCCCCCTGGAGTCTAACCACTTCTCCAGCCTTCTCTTCACGCCGCCATGCACTCCTGGAAGGATTCTCCTCTCAGCTCCATCGTCACAGCCATCTTGACGTGGTCCACGTCTTCTAAACGGGTCCCCTTGATGAGCCCTTGAGCTTGGGGAAGCGGAAACAACCCCACGGAGCCAGGTGGGGTGAGTATGGAGGTTGCTCCAGATGTTCTTCTCAGCCAGGAGCTGTGGGATGCTCAGGACGTTGTCATGGTGAAGCAGCCTCCACTGGTCCTGACACAACTCTGCCTCTTCTGGAACGAAGCAAACGCTGCAGGATCTCTTTGTGCTGATTGATCATCTGAAGGGGAAGTATTCAAGGATTCAAGGATTCAAGGCCTTTATTGGTCACAAACAGTTATACATGGTATAACAGTGAAATGCTTTGCATACCTGAAAACTTGTAGTTTGTAGTTTGGGCTTGTCCAGGTGTTACGATTAATCCACAAGAAGAACCATGACCTGGATGACTGAGAATCTTCACAGTCACAACTTAAACTCCCTCAAAAGTCCTTTTCCACGGCCTCTCCGAACTCCTCCCACATCTGAGTTCTAGCTTCTGCAAATTTCCACAGCTGCAGCTCTTTCAGCTCTACCTGTCTGCTGCTTCCCCCAAGTCAACCAGGCCCGGAAAGTCTCCTTCTTCAGCCTGATGGCCTCCTTCACCGGCTGGTTTTGGGGTTGCCGCCACGACAGACACCAGTGACCTTCTGGGCACAGCTCCTAACGGCCGCTTCTGCAATGGAGGCTATGAACATGGCCCACTCTGACTCCATGTTCTGAACCTCCCCCTGGATGCAGGAGAAACTCTTCTGGAGGTGGGAGTTGAAAACCCCACAGACAGGTTCCTCCGCCAGACGTTTCCTCACCACGCGTTTGGGTTTACCAGGTCTGTCCGGCAGCCTTCCTCGCCATCGGATCCAACTCACCACCAGGAGGTGATCAGCTGACAGCTCTGCTCCTCTCTTCACCTGCTGTGGTAGCCAGACTATGACTAGCACAGAAGTCCAATAACAAAACTCCACCCGGGTTCATATCAGGCAGGTCGTTCCTTCCCATCACGCCCCTCCAGATTTTTCCGTCATTGCCCATGTGAGCACTGAAGTCCCCCAGGAGAACTATGGAGTCCCCAGACGGCACCCCTTCCAGGAGACCACCCAGAGACTCCTAGAAGGCCGGATCCTCTGACCGGCTGTTTGGTGCATACACACACAATAAGCTGGCAATTCATGGGGAGGATGGAACTATCCAGTCTGTCATTACTGTAACAGCCCGATGATTTCATCCCTGAAGTAAAACCCATCCTCACACCCCAAATGGCCCTTTTGCATAAATAGCTTCCTGCAGTGCACAGACTACAGCGTTGGGCTAATTCACTTTCAACTCAAAGTGATGGAAACTCTAATTGAACAGCCATTAGGACAGTAATGAGGAAACCACTTCAGGAATTAACTGAACAGAAACTGAGGTGGGTATTTGTTCTGCGATAGAGAAACACTTTAAAACTTGTGATTCGATCAATCCGAAGCACGCTAATGTATTCGCTTGTAAAGATGCGAGGCCAGATAGCGCCACTACAGATGCTACAAACCTTGCTGGGAGCAGGGATATAAAAATCAATGTTTCTCACATTTGGCAAGGCCATGCCTCACAAACATAACAAGGATGCTGATGGTAGTCGTGCAGCCCAATGAGCGGGCATTATAGCTGCGAGGCCATAAACGGGGTGCGGTGGATGGATGGCATTACGGAGGAAATGTCATGCTTGGAAAGGCTTTATTATGTGTGTCGTTGAAGGATGCGCTGCTCGGCACAGATGTGGCCGCCTCAGCCTTTCTTTCTGACTTTGTGTCCATTTAATCTGTCCTTTCAAAACTCATTACATTTGCTGTAAACAGTTCGATATCTAAATCTCCAAAGATCTGCTTAAACTCTGGAGCTTAATTAATAGTCATAACCTGCAACTACAACCTGAAGATGAGCTGAGATCGAGCTGAAGTCGTCCCGGGGAGAAAACGAGCCGAAGATCCTCATTACACATTGTAAAGGATAAATATACAGATGCTAGCGGTAGATAGTCATCTGACGTCTATATATATATACTATATACGTGCTGATAACTCTAAAATGTGATGTGCAATTTATGTCCATTATTATCATCATTAAAATCTCTTTTAATGAGTTTTATTTTAATCAATATAATGTTTCTTGCATCTTGTGATTACACATTTTTACAAGTCAAAATAAAACAACAACACACAAAATTGTATATTTTAGTGGCAACGAATACATTGGAGTAACAAAACATTATTTTATTACTATTACTGTAAATACAATAATATAGTAAATATAATATTATGACATCTATTGATAAGTTTGCTGAATAAATAACATACAAGGCTAATTTGCTTTTTTGTTGTTTCATCTATAGGCCCTCTTTCTAAGTACGTTGTATGTTAATAGAAATAAATGATAAATAACTAGTCAAACCTGTGTTTTTTCGGGGTGCTGATTATGTCTTTGTTAATTAAAGCCCATTAAATTCTACCTCAGGCACATAAATAAAACAGGGACAAGAATATTAAATATATTTATATATGACACTATTTCCATTTATCCAATGTCTGCTCAGGAATGCAGACAAATAACTATAATCTGACATCTCAATCAAGAAATAATAACAGGTTTTACTATTCTTTCTGTTTTTTTGTAAAACAGCAAATTCATAGATAACAATAATAATTCTATTTTAGCTTAAAAAAGTAATTTCGATTGCAGAGCTTCTACATACGGGTGTATTAATCATTACAGAAACATAAGAGATGATGTAGGTAATTGCTAACGCTGTTAATTTAAGACAGCTGACGTATAAGCCTTATATTAGGTGGTGGTCTAATAAATCTGTTAAGCCACCGTAAATACTTTAATCCAACATGCCGTGTAACTTCTTAATATGCCGATCACCTTCCTCCTTGTTCTCAACGGTAACAATGCATAAAAGGGAAACGTAGCATGAAAATACAATTACCATGCAAATAAGTCATGTCAATGACGCCGCCGAGGTTCGATCTCGGCTCTCCATCCTCGCCCAGTAATAATAGAATACATTAATATAACTGCTTTAAACTCCATCTGAACCTCCCTTTGATCGACATCTACTATTTCTATTCAGGCTCAGAGTTTTTATTTATTTATTTTGTATTAAATAAAAGAAGCTAAAATGGTTTATTAGTGAGAAGGGCCCACTTCTTACCTCTCCTTCCTCTTAATGCCTCCTTTATTTCCATCCCTACTCTTCCCTCCTGTGCCTCTTTACCCCTCTTGTGATTCCCCTGCGTCACTCTCATCCAGCACTTGTTTTCCTTTCCCTCCACCCCTGCCTCCGTCTCCCCTCGGCCTGACTGATGGTGTGCTGAGGTGAGGCAGACCGACTGTCGGTGAGGGATTGCCCCCGCCAGCCTCTGACACTGGGCCCTATTCAGGCCGGGGAAATGATCGATGTTAAATCTAATTTTAAACACCCCCAGTATAACTCCGGCAGACAGACGGAGAGCGGAGGGTAGCGTCTGGCAAAACAGCTGGGGCAACCTGATAAGAGCTATGGTTCAAATTTACCTGCCAGTGTGTCTGTGTGTGTGTGTGCGTGTGTGTGTTGGAGTGTGTCGCCTTCGTACCTGAGACAGCTTTCTTGACACACTCTGTCCTGAACTTAAAGGGGAGTTGGAGGACGCTGACGGAAACNTCACATGCCTTCGTATTGTTGCTGTTGTGGCTTAGAAAGGTCCCAGTCCTTCAGTGACCCATCAGTTGGGTTTTTTCCAGCTTATTTAAGAACTGGAAGGATTTTCTGGCTCCCATTCTCATGACTGAGAAAAAAAAGCTGATTAATTATACATTCTGCAATTTTTATTCTACTTTTCCTGCAACTTGAATGGCAACACCACTAATTAGCAGATGCTAATTTGCATAGGTTGGATAAGTAAAGTTTTTCATTACAAGCTGCGACTGAGGGAAAAAAACAAAAACCTGATGTATAGATGGAAGCATGGTGTCCTGCTGATAAGAGAGAGTGAGAACCAGCTCAATCCTGTTTCCTATAAATGCTTTCAAAGAAGCCAGCAAGTGCCTGATAGCTTCCCTCTCCACTGTCTGCAACACAAATCTGGCACCGACAGGGGCTGAAGGCTTCTGCCCGGCCTGCTGCAGCGTGGCAGTGAAACAAAGACAGAGAGGGACGGAGGATGGCAAGAGGCAGGACACACACTTTAAAGATAAATGCATGCGGGGACAGTGTAGGAGGAGAGGAAGGGGAGTCGGAACAAGAGATAGGGGAGGTGGAGAGTGGCAGGCAGAGATAGAGGAGGAGAAAGAAAATTCATTTTATCTCTATTATGAATATGAGGGCTGTGGTGCGCCGTGGTGGTGGCCCACGCCTTTGGGTGATAACAGATTCACGGTGAGGGTTCGCTAATTGGAGCAGCCGGCACACACACACAGTGTTCTGGATGGGATAGCCTCAGAAACAGGACCCGGAACAAGACGTGATACAAAAACTGTCAAGTGAAAGTGATGCTTGTGAAAGTGATTTAGGTGGATTAGCAGCTCCTTGAAGGCACGGATATTAATTAAATTAATTAATCAGCATACCCCTGTGTGTAGTACGTTAAAACCTAATTTAAAGCGACACAGCTTCAGAACACAGGAAGCTTCACGTTCAGAATGTTAATAGTGCTTTAAAACTCAGAGTTTTATGGGAATTAGTCCTCTGGTTTGTAAGCAGCAACAGCTACGGAGGATAAATGGGTAATTAAATTATAGAGGCTAATTTAAATGTTGGTGAGAACTCACTAGAATCAGATAGATGGGCACAAATGCACGACTCAGAATGGGTTCAGGCAAAAGACGGGTAGGGTTCGGTAGACAGGAGTTCAGTCGATCAGGCAGAGGAATCCAAAAACAGCAGGCAGATTGTGACTATGGATGTGAGGAACGCTGCTACGAGGACTGTGAGGTAATGTACACGAGGTAATGAGGGGAGATGGAAACAGGTGAGGGAGAGTCATCAGGGAGCAGGTGTGATGAGACGGGTGCAGGAAGTAAAGCGAGGACAGAGACAACCGGTTAGTGATTTCAAAATAAAACAGGAAAGACAAGAATGTGCAAACAAAACAGAAACTTGACAGACATGACCAACCTTTTTTTCTCACTATCTGACATGAAATCAAACCAAATGTTTCCTGTTTTAGGTCAGTTAGGATCACCAACATTATTTCTATTTGCTAAATGCCAGAATAATGAGAGAGGGATTTTTTTTAAACTTTCTTCAAGGTCAGAAGTTTTCAGACATTTCCTCATTATTTGGCAGCGTTCCCTGCACCAGAGGTTTTGGTGGCCCACCATGGACAAGGACACCTGCAACTTCATGCAAAGACCAGGTCAACAGCCGTCCCACTTCTGCCAAAGAGTATGGCTCTGCTCCAAGAACCTGCCGTTGAGAGTGGAGTCCAAGAAACCGGCCCCCGACTTCGTGGGACCCTTTGAAATAGAGAAAGTCATCAACCCTTGTGCTGTGAGGCTGAAGCTACCTCGCACCATGAGGGTTCATCCCAACGTCCATGTCTCTCAACTGAAACCTGCCTGGGACAGCACACTGGCTCCTGTCCTGGTTCTCGTCAGCTATCCGATCCTGCCCATAGTCTGGGCCAGCAGCTGATCCCAAGCCTTCGTTCCTCCCAGACCCTGACCTTCCCAAAGCCTGCCTGCCTTCCCCCCTGTTTAGTTAGCGCCACCTCTATTATTTATCCTATAGTTTGAGCTTTCGTTAGTCTTGTTGTTTTTAGTGTTATTCTAGTTTTGCCCATTTTTTGCATTGGGTTTTGGTTACTTACCCTTAGAGCTTAGTTTCCTCATTCTGTGTTAGTTCAAGTTGCTTTACTGTTCCAAATAAACTTTCATTACTATCCCTTGATTCGTCTCCGCCTGCTGTGGTGCCTGCACCTGGGTCTTAGCCCCGCTGTGGCATCTGTCAGTGGGTGAAATCAGAAAAGGGCTCTGAGATGATCGTATAGCGTAAAGCTTGTTTGGGTAAATTAACCAGCTGACTGAAGACAAGCAGACTAATAATGAAAAGAGAGAAAAACAATCACAAAGACACAACAAATTACCACAGAGTGATGCTTTTACGTGTTGATGTTCATGCAGGAGGAGATCGTGCAGCTAACTGTTGATATATGGTTGTTGTCATACAGACATACTGCTCGTGACCCAGAGCAGTGAATACTTGGTAGAAGACAGACAAAGAGAAACTCCTCATATCTAAATGTGGTCTTTGTCACACACACACAGACGCTCTTTTCAAATCCCTGCACTCACGCTTGGCGCCGCGCTTCAACTTGAGCCACAAGTGATGCTTGAAAATCAAATGTGTCATTATCTCACGTTTTTAATGAATTATTCACAACACTGAAGAAATCCCTTTGGATTAATCCCTCCATCGCTCCTTCTTAGCAGTCACACACAGGATCAAATCCCTCAAGCTTTGCTGGCTTTGAATGACATTTATGCGCACGCACACACACACACACACACACACACACACACACACCACACACACACCACACACACACACACACACGCGCACACACA